CTCAAATTCTTTGCCACTCGTTCGCATTCATCACGTCGTGAGCAATATATAATGATCGATTGGTATTCAACAAATCGGGGCTCTTTGAGCAGTTGTATCAAGGCAATATCACGATTATCATCGCATGAAATGGTTAGCGTTAAATTATCCGGCAGTGGAATATCACTAATAACACCATCTAAACCATCTGGAATCCGTATATGTTCCACAATGCTAAGTCTAAAAAGTGATCGATCCAGAAAAATCAGTTCATTCGAAAATAAATCGAAAATTTCACAAAAAAGCTAGCGAAAGAGATACCTTGTTGAAATCGTGGCTGTTGCCGTTAAACCCAGAACAGTTTTTATTTTCAGTTTATCATATAGCACTCGACACACCATCAGGTAACTGGGCCGGAAATTATGACCGAATTGTGATACACAATGACATTCTTAAAATGGGAACAAAAGGATATTGTAATTTTGAACATTTGTAAATTATTCTCATTTCAATTTCAACAAGAAAGAAAATCAAATGATTTCTAAGCATTACCATCAATACAAACAAAGGCAACCGGTGGCAAATCTCTCAGAATCGAACCAAATCCAGTGGATTTTTCGCTTGAAACGACCGCTTCGGGAGAAATGAGCAAAACATCCACTTTGCCCGCTTTGATGGCTTCAATGGTGGCTGCCCGTTTCTGTGCACTCAAGTTTGTGTGCAGACATTGTGCGTTTAAAAAGTGTGGAACGCCCTGCACTTGATCCTCCATCAATGAGACAAGCGGTGATATGACCAGCGTTATGCATCGCTTTTTCCTACTGTACATATAAGCTGGCAATTGGTAACATAACGATTTACCACTGCCCGTGCTCAACGTCACCAATGTCGATTGACCTGATAAAATTCGCATGACTGCTTTTTCTTGTCCGCTTCGGAACTCCTTGTGGCCAAACATCGCCAGTGCTTCATACACTTCTGGTGGAGTGGCTGTGTGTGTGTGAAAAGAAATTAATGGTGTACACTTCATTATTTTAACACAACAGAAATAAAGGATTTAGAAAACAAAACCGATTCATTGGCTCTCCGAACAATGAATGGAATAAACGATTTGTGAGTCAATAAGTGCTTACCAAGGGTGCTTCCATCAGCATTTAATTTGTATAGTGGTTCAATTTTAGTCTCATCTTCAACGTCATCGCCAACCAAGCCAGCTTTGATCAAAAATTCTTCGGGTATTTTATGGCCAATGTAGGTTTGTGTCGGTGCCTCGTCAACGGTATTTTCACTTTCAGCTTCCGTTTCCAATTCCGATTGTGTCGTTTCGTCGGTAACTTCTGTAGTTGCATCTTCAGAGTCAGTTTTCCACGTTGGATTGCTAGTTTTTGGCAGTTCACGATTTCCATGTGCCAATTTAATTTTTTGATTGGACATTTCTTCCACCTCTTGAAGTGTGGGAAATGGTGATTCTTCTTCAACGGCCAATGGCAATAATCGATCACCTAATTTTGATAAACAATTTTAAATTTTGAAATTTTTTTGTGTTAGTTTAGGCAAACATTTGGATTTTCACTGATAAAAAAATCTCTTCTCCGGCCTGGCCTATTCAATCGAACAAATTTATACAATTTCTTAGAATATAAAAAATGTTGCAATTACTCACTTTTTGCTTTACAGTTCTGTGCAAAATGTCCTGGAAGACCGCACTGGAAGCAGGTCAAAATGCCACCATCACAGCCTCCCATGTCCATATCTGGTCCACTCAACGCAGCCGCTTTCTTGCTCTTCCACAATTTTTTCTTGTAACGGCTGAAGTTCATCGTCTTTTTACCACGTACAAACACCTTCTTTCGAAGATTCAATCGCACGTAGTTATCGTTGAGCGCACCAGACGCAATTTTACTCTCAAGTTTATCTCTGGCAATGGCATTCTTCGTTGATAGCGGTTTTGGTTTGCTGGGACCAGCACCACTTGCTGGTTCAACGCTCTTGCTCGATGAATCTGCACTGTAGACGTACTTTGAGAATTCCATTGTGTTCTGTTTCAATTCGGCGATGGGCACACGTGGCACACTCTTGATATTTTCCATACCGAATTCAAGCAAATAATCATCGGGTGTCTCTTGTGGTGGTTCAGTCTCACTGACACTGCTATTGCTATCGGCCATCGACGCTTTCTTATTGGCAGGTACTCTAGCTTTACGCTCAACTTTAGCACGTGGTTGTTTAGGTGCTGCTTTGGTACGTGCAACTCTCTTCCGTGTGATTGTCTTTTTCGTCATTTCTTCCTTCTGCTGCTGCGGTGTTTCGTCGTCGGAGGTGTTTGGACTCGATACTACGTTTGACATTCGATTTTTCGATTTGGTTTCTTGTGAATCAGAGAAATTGGGGTCTTTATCGGAATCATCGCCAGCGAATGGATCACTATCCTCGTCATTATCCGATTTCGAAACGATCTGCTTGTAAGTCGTCCTTTTATTTGCATTTCGTGAACTCTTTCGTGTAACAACTACTGCTTTGGCCGCTTCTTTTTCCACATTTGATTCGGCTTCTGGTTTTGGTTTTGGTTTAGTGATCGATTTTGTTTTTCGAATCGTTTGCGGTATGGTGATCTCTATTGCCAGTGGCTTCTCTTCTTTCGTATTATTGTTGACATTTGGATTGCTGGTAATTTTTGTCGGAAATTTCAACACTTTTACTGGGACCTCATGGTCGATTTCATTGTGTTTTCTTTTCGTTGAATTGCGAATACTTCGAATTTGTCGTGATAAATTCATATCAGCCTCGTCTTCACTGTTGGCTATCTCTTCATCATCACCAGCCACCTCGTCGAGTACCAAACCACTTAGTCCGAGCGAGCTCTGAGCCGTAATGCCACCAAACGAATTTTGTGCGGTGAGATTTAAATTGCCCATATCAAATGAGAGCATACTCTTTGGAACGACTTCTTGAGCAGCTTGAGAACGTTCAAAACTAGCAAGAGCGCTCACATTTATGTTTGAAAGACCAAACACTTTCGGATGTTCCGTCGTTTTGCTCCGACTTTCACCTGATCCAACAGACGCTGCAATCAAATCATTTTCCATATTATTGGCTTTATTGCATCGACTTAGCCACTCTTCGTCAATATTATTGATTAAATTCGTTGATGCGGGCTTAATCTCTAATGGTGTTGGTGCTGGTTGTGATTCAGTTTTTTCATCGTTATCTTCTTGTTGTTTGGACTTTTGCGAGAGGTACGTTTGTAAATCTGGAAATGATTCCTTTTGACTAGACGAGAGTAGCGACTGTGACGAGTGATTGCTGGTCAAACTATTCCGTGACAACGATTTTCGTGGATTTCGCTTCTGGAAGCTTGCACCACGAAATAATTTATCAGACATTGATTTTCTTGAGCTGCTGTTGTTTGATTTTAGCGATGTATTCGATACAATTTTCGTTGCTCTTGACCATGCTTTTTCATTCAACGGGAGTGCCTCTTCTGCCTCGAATTCAGTTCGGTTTGATTGTGAGTGACCATCAGCCGTAAAACTGTTCGAAGATATGTCAATCGTCGAGTGCAGTGCATCAATGCTGCTATTCTGCAAAATAATCGAACTTTCGCTGGTCAGTGCCGACACATCAGGCGTTGACATTTCGGAGAATGAGCTGGACAATCGTGAATCAGTTTGTGAACTGGAATTTTCAAGTATTGACAAATCAAATGAGTCTTCATCCAATGCATCGCTCAACGTTTCCTCAAGAAATGTTGTCTTCAATTTGTAGTACATTTTGTATGAATCACGAATTGCTGACGGTGCCTCGCGAATATCGTACTGAAAATGTCACATAACATTCAGATGAAAGTCCAATTGTTACCATTCAATAAAAAAAAAAAAAGTCTCACCTTCGACGGAACACGTCCATTCAATTCTTTAAAAGATTTTTCCCACAGCTTGACTTTGGTTTTATACTTATGATATTTGGCCTTGAATGCTGGATCATCCATTGTGGAAATTAATTTGCAAAATAACCGATCAACAATTTATTTTTTTTTCTTTCAGAACCTTTTCCATTATAATAATAAAGAAGAAGTCATCACAATTGCAAGTTCGTCAAAAATTTGGCGCCAACGAGTTTCATCAATACGTCAGCGTTTGAAATGTTCAAAAATTGATTGGGGTGCGTTTCATGGCGACTTATTCAAGTATCTCGTTTGTTCATTTCACACGGTTTTTTTTCGACAGTCGGATCCAAATAGAATGATAAAAAAAATTCTGTAAAATAAAAAATTTGTCGTCTTAAGTTGAGTGATTTTCATTTGGAAATAGCATTAGATGTGATGCGAGAAAAATTGATGAATTGACATGAACGCATCCATTAGTACAGAAAATAGTGCAACACATCAAGGTATTTACACATACACGCACACGTTCACACCACACAGCACCAGTAGCCATACGAAATAGACGGAGCTGTCATAGCCAATTTATTGAAATGAAAATATTGCATCGTAAATAGAAGAAGAAATTCTATGCAAAAGTCTTTTTTGTATCGCTCGTAAAAATCAACGGTTTCTTCTAGATAAATTCGATTTGAACTTAAATTGAAAATTCCATTTTGTCGTCGAAACAATTAGGTATAGATTTAAAAGCGATTCGATTTGCATTGCGTCGTGATTGAAGTAAAAGAAAGGAAAAACTATCAACAAAAATGATAAAATTGTTTTCACTGAAGCAGCAGCAAAAAGATGGAGACCAAACATCAAAAACTGGTACCAACAAAAAGACATCACCTGCACAGCTGCGAATTCAAAAAGGTTCATTCAACTTCCATTTTCTTCTGCTGACCACGAAAAATTCTTCTTCAATTCCATTACAAATTCCAATATATTTTCATTTTCCAAACATTCATTTTCATTTTCGTTCGAACATTACAGATATTAATGACTTGAACCTGCCTAAGACATGCACCACAGAATTCCCTGATCCAGATGACTTGCTGACATTCAAGTTGTTCATTTGCCCAGATGAAGGTTTCTACAAAGGTGGTCGATTCAAGTTTAGTTTCAAGGTGAGTTTCAAATCTTTTAAAATAAATTCAAATGTGACACTATTTTAATGTGCAAATGTGACAAAAGCCCCATGCTCTTTGTTGATGATTGTTTCGAAATAATTTGAACATTTCGTAGAATTGGCGTTTCAAATGATGATTCATTCGATTTTTATCTATATCAATTGTTCTACTCAAAAGTA